CGATGGCTGGGCATTTAGGGCAAGCAGCTACACTGAATCGTCTAATGACCCGATTTTTCTGGCCAGGCATTCACGAGAATGTGCGCAGGTGGTGCGCGTCTTGTCGTGAATGTCAGTTGGTGAATCCACCGGCCAACCGAAAAGCACCTTTGTGCCCCCTTCCATTAATAGAGGTCCCCTTTGAGAGGATTGCCATGGACCTCATCGGGCCGTTAGAACGATCCGCACGGGGGCATCACTTTGCATTAGTTCTGGTGGATTATGCAACGCAATACCCCGAAGCAGTGCCGCTTCGCAACATTTCTGCTAAAAGTGTTGCGAGTGCACTGTTTCAATTAATCTCCCGGGTGGGAATCCCGAAAGAGATTCTCACCGATCAGGGCACGGCGTTTATGTCACGCACAATTCGCGAACTGTACGAATTATTGGGTATTAAATCGATTCGTACCAGCGTCTATCACCCACAAACAGACGGCTTGGTAGAACGATTTAATCGCACGTTGAAGTCCATGATTCGTAAATTCGTACAGGAAGACGCCAAAAATTGGGATAAGTGGTTAGAACCCCTCTTATTCGCTGTACGCGAGGTCCCCCAAGCCTCCACGGGGTTTTCCCCTTTCGAGCTGCTCTTTGGTCGCCAGCCCCGCGGGGTGCTGGATGTACTTAGGGAAGCTTGGGAGCACGGACCTTCGAATAGCAAAAACGAAATTCAATACGTCCTGGACCTAATAAAACTCCACATGTTGGGGCGGCTCTCTATGGAGAATTTGTTACAGGCCCAGGACAAACAAAGTCGGCTGTACAACAGGGGGGCTAAACTACGTAAATTTGCACCGGGAGATAAAGTGCTTGTATTGCTTCCCACATCCAGCTCTAAATTACTCGCCAAGTGGCAAGGACCGTTTGTGGTCACACGGCGAGTCGGGGATCTCAACTATGAGGTCCTTCGATCAGATAGGGACGGAGCACATCAGATTTACCACCTCAACCTGTTAAAAAAGTGGAATGAGGCGGAGTCAGCGATGCTGGCGACGGTAGTGAGTGGGGAGGAGGATCTCGGGCCAGAGGCGAATTTAAAGTCTCAATCCTCCGCTCTGGCCATTTGCGGAGACCACCTCTCACCGTCCCAGATCGCTGACATTCGAAACTTACAAACAGAGTTTGCTGATGTGTTCTCGCCCCTCCCTGGTCGAACAAACCTCATACAGCACCATGTTGAGACCGAACCGGGTGTGGTAGTACGCAGCCGGCCATATAGATTGCCTGAGCATAAAAAGAAAGTAGTTCAGGCTGAATTAGAGGCTATGCTGGATATGGGAGTAATAGAAGAATCCAACAGTGACTGGGCGAGCCCGATAGTTTTAGTGCCTAAAACTGACGGCTCAGTGCTGTTCTGTGTGGATTATCGTAAGGTGAATGCTGTATCGAAGTTCGATGCATATCCAATGCCACGGGTGGACGAATTGCTTGATCGGCTCGGCACGGCTCGATTTTACTCGACACTGGATTTAACAAAGGGTTATTGGCAGATCCCCTTGTCTCCAATGACTAAAGAAAAAACCGCTTTCACGACGCCGTTTGGATTACACCAATTTGTCACCCTTCCTTTCGGCTTGTTCGGGGCACCTGCCACCTTTCAGCGCCTGATGGATAGAATCCTCCGGCCGCATGCTGCATATGCCGCGGCGTACTTGGATGATATTATCATCTATAGTAATGACTGGCAGCGGCATATGCAGCACTTGCGAGCTATCCTCAGGACGCTGCGAGGGGCGGGGCTCACGGCCAACCCAAAGAAGTGTGCGATTGGGCGCGTGGAAGTCAGGTATCTGGGCTTTCACTTGGGTCATGGGCAGGTGCGTCCCCAAATTGATAAGACGGCAGCAGTTGCGACCTGTCCAAGACCTATGACCAAAAAGGAGGTTAGACAGTTCCTGGGGCTAGCAGGATATTACAGAAGGTTTGTACCTAATTATTCGGACCTTGCTAGCCCGCTGACTGATCTAACTAAAAAGGAGGCACCAGATACCGTCCAGTGGACAGAGCAGTGTCAGCAGGCTTTCACCCAGATAAAGGCTGCCCTGTGTGGCGGGCCGCTATTACAGGCTCCTAACTTTTCTCTCCCTTTTCCCTGCAGACTGACGCGTCGGACAGGGGGCTGGGCGCCGTCTTGTCCCAGGAGATGGAGGGTGAGGAACGGCCGGGGCTGTACATCAGTCGTAAGCTCTCAAAGAGAGAGACTATGTACAGCACCATTGAGAAAGAAGCTCTTGCCATCAAATGGGCCGTCCTCACCCTCCGCTATTATCTCCTGGGGCGAGAGTTCACCCTCTGTTCGGACCATGCTCCTCTGCAGTGGCTCCACCGCATGAAAGATACCAACGCGCGGATCACCCGTTGATATCTAGCTTTACAGCCTTTACAGCGAAGTCTGTAGCGGGAGAGCGAGGGCGGAGCCGAGCGGTGAGTAAGTGGGTCAAGTTCAAATGACAAACACCTGTTTGTGATTTCAGTAATTGGCGTGAGGAGACCGCATATAAGCGGGCTGTGCTGATAACGCAAGAGAGAGAGAGACTGGAAGCTCGTGCACGCTGACGATCGGGACGAAAGGTTTATGAAGCTGTGAATAGTGGAAAGAGTGCTGCCTCGTTGGTAACCTGAGAAGCTGTAGTCAGCGGGAAGAGTATTGCCTTACATGTGAAAATTGAGTGTTTTGTTTTGAGTTAATTCTGAGAGCGCAAGAAAGCGCTGTGCAAAGAGCATCATTAATAAAGTGCACGAGCTCCACTACTTGCCGACCCCGAGTCTCCTTCCATCACCCACACACGAACTCTGAGCTACATCACATTGAATTACCAGACTAAAGAGAGGACCAAACATGGATTAAAAAAATATTGTCTGTTTTCAGTAAACTGCTTAGCCTAGAATGAAAAAAAAAAAAAAAAAAGCTGTAACAATAAAATGTTAGGTCACTGTAGGTTCACTTCAAATAACATTTAACAAGGAAATATCAACATCCTCTTAACGAACATAGCAAAATAACTTATTTTTTCTTTTACATCACTTATTTAGGCGAAAAGGCAAAAGTGAACCTTTTATTTTCATTGCTAGCACTTTTTCTTTAACGTCCCCCACAATGTGTTCTCTGCACTTCTCCGCGAACTCAGCTAGCTTCCCTGGGGTGAAGCTGACGCTGTTGAACTGGACCCTGTCTGCAAAGTACAGCTCCGCGATAGGGGCGAGCTGAGCCACTGCATTCCGAGAGACACCCTCTTTTCTGGAGGCTTAGGTCATGGTTGCTCCACGTCGCGTTAGCTTGAAAAGCCTTTTGTATCGACGTAAAACATCACGAACATTCTTGGCTGAAAAACAATCAAAACAAACAAAAGTGAATGCCTCACTGAGAGATATACCCTTTCAGTTCAACCTATAATGGTCTAATTAACATTATACCATGCTAACATTACAAAACCTGTTTTTTGATATTTTGAATGTGAAGCAAAACTCAAATAAGAATAGACAAAACACCAATAATAAACAATTCTGTACTTTATTTAAAGATCACCTAAACATCATCTTGCTGTAAAGAAAAAAGGAAGAAAGAATTGTGTTAGAGACTTTTCTCCTTCAATTGCATAAAAAAATCCTCATTTATAAGTCGCTTTGGATAAAAGCGTCTGCTAAATGAATAAATGTAAAATGTAATGTAAATGCATAAGGTAAAATAATTACTTTCTGGTAGGTGAATGTTCCTTCTTTTTTCATTCTTTTTGCAATCGCTCTGTCAAATTCCTCGACTTCACTAAAATAAAAGATGAATGCCATTGTCAAAAATATTGTGTAATAATAAATAATATTTTTTTCTGCAAATGCAAATTACAAGCATACCTAGGGTGATAAGTAGGGCCACGGAGGAACACCTCCTCAGCCTCCTGCCAGGATAACGCCTGCATCTCACATAGGCCATGAATGATGGCCATCATGGCCTGTCCATATAAATAAATAAATTAATTAATTAATATAAAAAACCATTGCATATATGGCAATAATAGAAACAATCCAATTCAGCCAGGGTAGCGACACTTCGTAGAATAACTTCGTTGGTTTAAAATAAATGGGGGCACAGAATGGGCAGTGAAAATCACTGCAGCATTTATTACATTTCTGCATTTTCTGAAAGTGAATTCCCTCGTTGAATTGTTATATCCATCTTTAAAAAAAAAAAAAAGAGAGAGAGTTAAATTCAAATTTTAAGACCAGCCCACAGAGCCTATACAGTCAAATTTCAGTCAATACAAATTAAAACAAGGAAGGCCAAATGACACATTCAAGCTCACATGTTAATATAGACTGGTTAATACATAGTGAAGGCATAGTAAATTTGATTATTAGGCAATTGTATGAGTTGTAAATGGCTGGCAACAACTTCATATCACAGTTAAATTAATATTGATTCATTTTAATACTTACGTTTTATAAGAACTAATTTAAGTAGTCTACATAAATTATATAAAGTAAAATAGTTACTCCGGCATTAATTAATTCAATTTATAGTTTTAGGAGAAAAGGTCCGGTAATTAAAAAAAGGTCAAATCTGCTTGAATAATTAATGATGACATTCTTTGATATTAAATTTTTACAATGGCTTGTCTATAAAAAGTCCAAGGTTAAAGGCTAACTTTAGCTATATCAAAAATTTTCGGGGAAAAAGGGCGAAAAAACATACATTAACGGCTCAAATTTTGTTACAAACTATCTTTACACATATTAAATGGACTATTCATATGTTGGTATCGATGAACTATAAAGTAGTTTTATTAAAAACAAATTGAATGAGTATGATTCGCTAAATAAAATTGACGATACTCACGTTTCGGCTTAAGTTCTTCACATGTTTATCCGATCCAATTTGATAGGAGGCGCTGTCTCGAAAAACAAGGCGTCTGAGAATGCGGGACTCTGGGTGGGGGACTGTAGATGCAGGCTCCGAGTCTGCAGCTTCATAGTTGATGCTTGATTTCTTTCAAGACAACATACTCTTCTGTCACTTGTTTCAAGAGCTTCACTTGGTCAAAAACCAAGTGATAACCTGTACAATGTAAAATTGTCAACATCAAATTATGTACTACATATTACAGCAGTTTCAATACAAGACATACCAATGGACTTGTGCACCTTTCTGTCTTGTTTGGGCACCAGACGTTTCTTCCTCACCCGAAACAAAGGACTAATTCGATTAGCTTGCGTTGATATAAGGACGGGTCTTCCTTCTCTGCTGTAAAACAAGAAAGTCCACTTACTTTATGTGCAATTGCTATTGTTCTTGAAACATAAATTAAGACAGTTATAATTAAGTTAATTTACCATCCGATTCAGTTGAGCATTTGATGAGTAAATACTGATTGAAATATTCTAGAAACTTTACCTGGGAAGGGCTGTTCACAGCAGGATTCGCTGCGACTCACTCGTAGCTCTTGTGAGGGTTGGCTCTTAAAAGAACTGTTGAGTTTGATATTGTAGAGATTAAGTAATCCTGCAAAACAGAAAGGAATGAAATTTTTATTTTTACATGCAAGTAGTCAATTTATATATAACTGTAGGATTTATTTCTGTAAAAGAGTGTTGCATAATTAAATGTTAAAAGCATTTTTATGTAATAAGTTCACTGATATGTGGGCATTTCTATGAGTAAAAGTATGTCTTTAATAGCAAGCAATAATCATATGAACTCTTTAAAAATAGCATGATTTACATGCAAACGGGACAGTTATCAGCAGTGTAACTGATCTGATTATGACAAAATAATCGAGTATCTGATGTCATGTGACAAGTCAGATCAGCTTTTCCACTCTTGCAAACAGAGGTAAGTTATGAGGTGTGGAGAGACATTATGTATCATTGGAAAATAAACAGACAGGGTCCAATTTGTAATAATTTTAATGAATGCAATGCAATTAATATAAACTTTCTGACAGTGTGTGGAACATCCAACTACTTTCCAAGAAGGGGCGCAACTGATTTACAAATATCGCGATAAATATGTACAGGAATTGAGGCAGTAGCCAATGACAGCAGTAGGAGTAAAAGCTGCAGAATTATGTACGAGTATACAAATATGTTAGCCTGGTTAAAACCAGACCATTCTCAGTAGTAACCGAGTTATAGTCTGGCAAAGCTTCATAGACAAATCATTTCCAAAGGGGCGTCACCAACGGACGTCACTCAAATGCAATCAGAGCGATGAAGGAGATGACGTATGCAGAGCGGCGGAGAAACATCTCCGAGTGTTGTTCTTTGCTCGGGTTTTAACAAAAAGGAAACGTTCAAATCGCTTAAAACAGACGCGATAGCTGATTCGAACGAGTGATGTTCCTTGTAATGTACAAAATCAATTTCGACGGATTAGAAATGATCTTGAATGAGCTCTTTGCCAGACTACTTGAAGAGCAAATCTAAATTTGCCGGAAGTTGTCTGGGTTTTCCCAGGCTACAAATATGTACGAGTATCATACAAATTTGACAACTTGTTAAATCTTGTGAATTATTAAGACTTTGAGACTATGTTTGTACTGATTGGGCTATGGGTTTTGTAAGAAAAGGTTTATGAAACAACAAATGCTTGATAAAATGTTTGATTTAGGGTTAAAACCAATACATACATACCATTGCGAAGATTTGCCTTTGCAGCTTTCCGTCTCCTCAGTTAACTTCTCCTCCAACAATAATGGGTCGACTGAGTCCGAAAGGCCCTTTTGGTCTTTTCTGCTGAAAAAAGAGAAAATAAAAATGTATAATACATTAGTTATTAGAAATACATTATCACGAAAATATAACTAAATTAGCGTGTCCGTGTCAAGAATCAATATATTAAATTACGTGACCATATCACGAACTGCAGTGAGACTGAATATTACGTGGTACAGTCACGGAACAGACCACTGACCAGAAGTTATCATAGCGATCAAACGACGACAGAACAATGCAATATCAAGTTAAAATCACTTTAAAAATAAATATTTAAAGTGAAGTACTTTTTAAAGTAAACCCAGCGATACGTTTCCAAATTATAAAACGACGTCAATTGGGGGAGCGCAGGTCCGAACAGGGAATCCGTGTGTGGACCACGGATGCTGCCTGTCATTAACTTACATAGGCATCATTTCCGTGGGCCCATCACGGAATTTTCGGCGATTCCGTGAAACTGCCACAGATTTTGAGTTAAGGGTCCGTGTTCATTTCACGGAATTCGGTGAGACCAGGTTGACCGGAAACACACTTGTTGTGAGCCGGCCAAATAGTTGGTTAACGTTACGTTTTGAGTGGATGACGAGCGCGAGGCGCCGAAATGGATGCCAATAAGATTCTGAATTGAAAGTTTCCCTTGACAAGACCGACGTGATCTGTGTGTTTTGTCGTTGTGAACTGAGCTATCATCGCAGCACGTCCAGTGTGAAATAGCCTACCACTTGATGGCCAAGCACACACACACACACACACACACACACACACACACACACACACACACACAGCTGATGCAAATTCTCCGCCCCCTCGTCAATATCAGGACCTCGTATTATTTCTTTCACCCTTTTATTGATGACAGTGTTACATTGTGTGAGAGATTATTTGCTCCAAGTGAGAATGTTTTAGTGTGAAATTGAACAGTATTGGCAATGTTGTTTTCAATAAAAAACATTTGCACAAAGCAAGCCGATCCAATTTTTTATGTTGATAAGTGCATTCAAATTAGAAAAAATGATGGGACAAAAAGAAATCAAGAGACATTTAGAATAGATAAAAATGTGTGATTAATTGCGAGCTAACTATGACATTAATGCGATTAATCACGATTAAATATTTTTATCGTTTGACAGCACTACACTAAAATAAAGTGTTACCACTATATCTATAGAAATATATATGTGTACCAAATGATTAATTGATTAACCATTAAGATCAGTTGGATTAAATAATAGACACATGTATTAAACTGAACAAGAAGAGATGCAAATCAAAAGTTTGATAGTAATGGCATTATGAAAGGCAGCTACTTTGAATGAAACATTTATATAGATGAAACAGTTATTTTGTTTTGTGAAAAGGATCATTTGTGATTTTGAGTATTGTACTAAAACAATTTAAAACAAATCGAAAAGTGTCCTTTTGATGATCTGTTGTGATATTAGTACTAAGAGTTTTGAAAATGTACACCTTTAAAATAGTACCAAAGCGAATAAAAATGACTGTAAATTATAACCTGAATAATATAGCCTGGATGCCAGCCCGAACCCCGCCCACAACATTTTTGGGTCGGGAAGATCGGTCTGGACTCGCTCCATTGAGGAGTAATTATGATCGGTCAAAAAATGTCCGGGCCAATCAAATTGCCAGGGCGGGCTTTATAAGATGATGGACAGATGATCTGCAGGGACGTAATCATCACGTTATCAAAGAGCGCTTAACTGGTTTCCCTCAGAGATGACTGTCGCTGGAGAACTGAGATGTATTGATTCCGCTATCGCGTCTGTTGTAAAAGAAATCGACAGCGCATTCATTTTAATAGACGAACAGAGAACTGCAATCAAGCCATTTGTCGATCGGAAAGATGTTTGCCGTCCTTCCTACGGGATTCGGCAAAAGTTTAATTTATCAGCTGGCTCCGATTTTCACTAAGAAGATGGGACGCGATGAAAACCCTGTGGTCGTTGTGGTTTTGTAACCCACCCAATTAATTGAGGCTTTATATATTTTTCATGTATGATTTTTTTTTTGTCTTGATTATATATATATTTTTTCTTTCCTAATGCATGAAATGTTCAGACATGTTATTTTTTTTTTGTTGTAATTATTTTGTATTTGCTGAGCAACAAAATTGTTAAGAGTATTGCGTCGATGAGAGCTGATATGCGCGCCAGCTCAGTGAAAAGAGAGATCGTGAACCACATGTGTGGCTGTCGATAATCTGAATCATCGTTGTCAATATCTTTCTAAAAGGGTGTTTGAACTGTTTTGTTACATTAGGTAAGTCACAATTGTTGTGTATTTTCATAAATATTGTTTAAGTTTGTGTTTGTTAATATACGAAAATGTGGATGGTGAATGCTGTTCATAATTGAGTATTGAGTGTGCAATATAACACATGTAAAGCATTTATGCTCTGTAAGTATACTTGTTAGAACTTGTTTGCACATTTATGTAATGGAAATAATGTTTAAAGGTTATAAATGTTAAAAGTATTGTCGATGAGAGCTTACGTCATATGCGCGCCAGCTCAGTGAAAAGAGAGATCGTGAACCACATGTGTGGCTGTCGATAATCTGAATCATCGTTGTCAATATCTTTCTAAAAGGGTGTTTGAACTGTTTTGTTACATTAGTTGGGATTGTTTCAACGCTCTGTGATCCTGGTCGAGTCGCGCCGTGAGGGAGAGCGCGCTGGATTTCCACTGTGGAGGAGTTGCGTCATCGGGGACTGTCTTCACGTTCAGTTTTCATCACTGCAAAGAGTTTAGTAGGCATTCACATGCAAACGAACTGAACTGAGTCATCTTCATTTTCACGCGAACTGAGTCACATTCAAACGAATTGAACTGAGCCATATTCACATGAACTGAGTCCATTACATTCACATTAACGGAACTGAATCATTTGCATAGCACTCATACTGCAGTGTGCACAAACTGATTTTTTTTTTTTCATTTTTCTTATTATATTTTATTTTCTTTGATTGTCAATGATTTTGTTTTCAAATGGTGATTTGTCAAAGAGGATTCTCATGTGATGTGTGAAAAGTGATCCGTGCACATTGAAGGGAATGAAATTCCAGTAAACAGTTACTGTTCAGTGATCTGATTGGTTTATCTGTTAATTCATTTCATTATCATTTATTAATTCATTCTATTTCATATTTAATTTTATTAATTGGTTTACTTAATATTATTTTCATTTATTTATTTGTCCAGTTAGTACTACAGACATTAACTTAAACAAGTGCAGACACACATTTAAAATGATTAATCATATGTTCTTTTCTTTTGATTAAAGCAAGGTGTGAGACCCCGAACCCGGGACTCCAGATACTTCTATAGGTTGAGATTTATAGGTATTTGGTGAGCTCAGACCCAGTAGATATTTTTCCTCCTTTTCTTTATTTTTATTTTTTTTTCCGGGGTGTTAGATCCTACTAATGGGTTACAGTTTCTCCTTTGGTCGCACTCATGGAGGACCAAGTAAAAGAAGCAACACTCGTTATTTTACTTCTTCCAGCGTGCGTGCATTTGAGTTCTGTAGTTGACAACTGTGCTATGCAAAGTAGTTGACTTACTGCGTTGCTCTCATTGGTTGTAGGTCTATCCAATTGAGTGCAGAGTTTTTTTTTTTCCTGGTTCGGTTAAGACACGCCTCATAATCAAAGCCCTATGGAGCAGTATCAGACTCACATCTGACTAGAATATGAGTATGACGAAGTCAGGCTATGAATAATAGCCTTTAAATGTGTGTTTTTTTATAATGAAAAAAGAAAACAGTTGTCATGATATCACAAAGAAAACAATATCTTGATAATAGATGTAATGGAAAACATTATTTCTTTTTATTTTATTAAAGCTTTCTTTATTATAAGAGCTTTCCAGGTGAAAAGAGCAAATGTAAGAACCATTTGAACTGCTGTCAGAGTTGTTCACAATCTCAAAAAATTTCCTTTACAGCATTCATGTGTATACAATATAATCATCGCAAAATCAATATAGAAGATAAGATCTGTAAGATCTCAATTTAACTGTAAGGTAAAAAATAAGTCAAATGATTATCTAAAATAGACTACAAACAATAGATTATCTGAGCAATAAAGAATATGAATAAATGAATCAAAAGATGAGTAAATTAATACCACAGTATGGATATATACATTTGCAAGTTTATATGATTAAAGAAAAGAATAAAAAAGAAAGACAATAATATTTTCCTGGCACAATATTTTCTCAAATTGCAACACTGTTGGGGATTTTGTCTGGGGACAAATAACAATAACCAAATGTTAATCCCTCATTCCGGCTCCTGATTTCTTTGGTCACCTCTTCTAGTTTCTTGCGGAATGTCTTTATGGCTTCCTTCACTGGTTCCTCTGTGAAGCACATCTCTGGATACGTGCCTAAGAACAGCTGGGGGAAAGTAAGTTCTTCAGAAAGCAGAACAACATCTTTCTTTCTTTTTACAAGGTTAACTGACCCTTCTCTAAGCTCCGCCTCCTTGGTTACTATCAATCACTCAGACAAGCTTATAAAACTAACAAAGTATTGTGGATTCTTCTGGGATTATTATTGGAATGAAGTCTGACATTGCAAAGCATTTTTATTTGCAGTGTTTCTTTAAAGAACTTGTAAAATAATGCGGTAACATGATTAAGAACTGCAGATCAGCAGAGATCAGAATTAGTGCAAATGCTTTTTACATTCAGATGAACAGAGAGAAGCCGATTACACCACTGTAAAAATATTATATGACCAATAAGTCATATATTTTTCCATTAATTTCACCAATTTTAGCTTAAATTTATAAGTTGTACAAGATTCAACACATTTTTTTAAGTCAAGATCTTAAATAATGAGTTGATCTGACTAATACGTTTTTAAGTTGTAGGTGGAAATGTGTTACAGAGAGCTGATAACATTAGTGTGAGTGAACAGAACTCTTTCTAATTTACTAATTTATTTAGAACAAATTAAAATTGAATCTATCTTTTACTAATCTACTACATAATCACAATACTGGGAACTGTTTTCTTACTATCCCGTCTGTGACCTTAATCAAAACTTATCAAAAATAATTGTCACTGTTATATGTGCTCCAGAAACAAGATACATGATCTCTTCAATAACTTTGAGAGCATTTAGTTTAAATATATCCAAACACACAGGACGTCCATTTACTGACATTATAGAAGAGCAAAAGCTTGCCTGTTAGGATTGGAAGAAATGTATTGCACTACAAAATACACAGAATAATTTGCTTAAAATTTAATTTGTAACATTATGTATTACTTATTCAACACTGTTTTGAATTTTAAAATGTGTGGATATAAAAGTGTGAAGTGGCACATTATATTTAGTGTACTAGTAGACGTTTCATTCTCAGTTTTTTGCTGCCCTCTTCTTTGCATGCAGACTAAAATTGCGGTGTGCAATGAACAGCGCAGTTATTATTATGATTTACTGTATACTGGACTATAACAGATCAGAGCACCTAATATTTAATATTTTAAATGCGTAACACCTTTAAGCGAATAGATAAATATTATGTTACTCCCCAAACATGATGACTTTTTAAATTGGGACTTAGCAAAGGGTCAGTTAAAAGAATTGCACTACCTGACTGAAATACTTGTATGTTGGCAGTGCCGCAGAAAATATACACTGTAGCAAGCAAACAATCTACAACAATAAGAATTTAAAATGTATTTGAGCCTACATATTTTTTTTTTTTTTAAATCATCTTTGGCCTTTTTTTTAACTCATACTTTGATGCTCTGTACCCTCAGCTGGTAACAGGTTAATTCTTTTTCACACTGATTTAGACTAGACTGCTGTCATGTTCTCTATTCAAATCAGACATCAAACCTCATCCGTCTGGAAGCGACTGAGGGCCCAAACTGCTCCTAGAGTCGTCCTGGAACGTCCACGATCAGGCAGACTCTCCATGATATACTTCATGTCCACTTTGCCCTTCTGGTCGGGAGGCGGCTTGCGCATGGTGGAAGGACTGTTGGGGATCCAGCCATACCACTCAAACTGCAACATAAAAGTTCACTCACAGATATTAGCTTATAGAAATTATCCATAATGTTGCCTAGCCATTTTTAACTCTCCTGCAGATGATATGAAAGTGTGTAATCTCACCTGTCCAAAGTTGACAGCAGCATGTTGTGCTGAAGCTATGAATATCACAACGGTCAGGTACTTGACTAACTCCTCTCGAGTGTTCAGAGAGACTGGAAACAGTGGAAATATATGGCGTTATATATGTGCCTCATTCCTGAGCGAGTAATTGTAAGTTTTGAGCACAGAGAACTATGTTGCAAGCACATTGCATTATATTTTGAACAGAAATTAACAATCGCAAAAAAAAAAAAATCGTTTGAGCAAAGAAAAAACGATTCCGTGCTCAATAAATGTATTTACTATTATCCATATTAACGTGCAATAATAACCCCTCTCACGCAGTTTACTCAGGTGCTCTCACAAACTTATTCTCTGCGCTCCTGTCAAGTCCCTCTCTCTCGCTCAACCTCTTAATTCTGTGCGCGCTCAACTCTTGACACACACGCGCGCTCAACTCTTGACACACACGCGCGCTCAACTCTTGACACACACGCGCGCTCAACTTGCAACAGCGTTACAAGTGTGCCACAAAATCAACCAATCGGAAAATTAAAGGTCAATTGTGATTGGCTGTTGGTCTCCAATCACCACGCAGCACAAAGACGAAAAAGGAATTTTATGGATAGATGTCTTCTCTAGTATGGAATGCCAAAGCTGACTTAATTCAAAATAAATAAATACTTAAATAAATATACTAAGAAATGTGAAAAAGCAAAAATACATAAATAAATACATAAAGAAATTTACAAATAAATGAGTATTTATACTTTTATTTCCTTATTTATGTATAATTGTATTTTTTCACACATTTATTTTTTTTATTTATACATTTATTTTATACATGTATTTATTTTCCACTTTTATTTATTTCCACATTTATTTATGTATATTTGTTTTTGTGTCTACATTTATTTATTTTCACATTTATTTATTTGTACATTTATTATTTACCCGAGTTTAAACGAGTGAGTCATGTCATTAATTCAGACCGATTCATTCAAATACTGATTCATTCAGTTCGGGGAAAAAATTATAATAAAATGATCTCATACATGGGCTTTTTTATAGCATTTTTAAATGCGGACATTTTTTTATTAATGTTGGTGCCACGTCGCCCCTCCATAATTTTGATACCTGAGCTGTACAGTTGAACATAACAGGTGGTGTTTTTTCCCCGAACTGAATGAATCAGTATTTGAATGAATCGGTCTGAATTAATGATATGACTCACTCGTTTAAGACAGTGACTTACCGCCACCTACTGGCTGTTACAGTTTCATATTTAAACGTACAATTTAATTGATTCCATCATTTCATATTTCTATATTCAAATGTTTTATTTTTAACATTAATCTCATAATGACTTTTATGCAATTGTAATTGTAGTGTAAAAACATTCTCCTCTGTATTAAGATTTTGACTTTTAATGACTTAATGACTTTTGTTAATTTTATTTTACTGATAACAGCCATAGTGCCTTATTATTATAATAACTGAGTAGTTTATCGATTAATATTAAGAACTTGACATGATGCTGTATACCTATTTAATAGGAGGGGGGGATAAATAAATATACAAATAAATAAATGTGAAAATAAATAAATGTAGACAAAAAAACAAATATACATAAATAAATGTGGAAATAAATAAAAGTGGAAATAAATACATGTATACATGTATAAATAAAAAAATAAATGTGTGAAAAAATACAATTATACATAAATAAGGAAATAAAAGTATAAATACTCATTTATTTGTAAATTTCTTTATGTATTTATTTATGTATTTTTGCTTTTTTACATTTCTTCGTATATTTATTTAAGTATTTTTTTATTTTTAATTAAGTCAGCTTTGGCATTCCATACTAGAGAAGACATCTATCCATAAAATTCCTTTTTCGTCTTCTTTGTGCTGCGTGGTGATTGGAGACCAACAGCCAATCACAATTGACCTTTAATTTTCCGATTGGTTGATTTTGTGGCACACTTGTAACCAATGTTCCCTCTAATTTTTTTTCTTGCTGAGCAAAACTTTTTTCTATTGGGCGGACATTTTTCGCCACCTGAGCAAAAATATTCTTTATACCTGACCTGTACAGCAAACACAATGGTTTCAACATTCAGTTGTAACTTTTAACTTGAATGTGCCATTTCTATTTTATTTGACCCTTGATGTAACTTATTGGTATTAAATCATATTTTCGAAAAACAAGCAGTTAATTAAGAAGTCACTAAATGAAGCACATTTTAGCTTACCTGATTTTTTTTTTTTACAGTGCTGTTAACTGTACAGTCTTTACCAAGAAATCCTATGAAAAATAATTTACAAAATCTTCTGCTGGACAGTTCAATTCTTTACAATAATAGAATATAGTATGAAAGAAAAGTAAGCTGTTACACTGAGATGGTTTGGGAAAACCATAAAGTGTTTTTGTACAGTCAATTAATTGTGTACAGTAAGCATTAAACCATCAAAGTTAAATTATTGTTTATTGCTTATGAATTTCCAATATTTTCTTTAGCAGGGGGTTTCAAACTTTTTAATGGCAATAAGCCCTAAACAATACCCTTGTGAGATTCTTTATTTAGGCTTATAATATAATAAAATATAGGCCTAATATAACCTAAACAATACCCTTGTGAGATTCTTTATTTAGGCTTATAATATAATAAAATATAGGCCTAATATAACCTAAACAATACCCTTGTGAGATTCTTTATTTAGGCTTATAATATAATAAAATATAGGCATAATATAATATAAAAAACGAATTGAAGTATTTTAAGTGATATAATATAATATCAGTTTAAATGCTTCAATTTGTTAACATATTATATTATTATAATATGAAAACAAACTGAAGCATTTAAATAGATCTAATAGCTAAATATTTTCAAGAAAAGTGAATATGTGAACTCTTTTATAATCTAACCATCCCTGAAACTCCCCCATGCACACAAGTGATCTATTTAAACTAATGATGTATTTTGAATTTGCATGCGGTGGGTGTGTAATTGTTACCGTTCTGTGTCCACCAACCTAATTATTTCCACCACTTTAATCAAACCACTCTTCTTTAAAACATTATGATGTGATTTTATTTCACATATCTATGCGTTTCTCGTATTGAGCTATTTGGTCCGCACACACGACTCACTGCCAATCACACGCGCTCACATCGTTCTCTTTCTATGAAACCTGTAAACTGCATTCACCAGTTTTCACTCTATAGCGGTTGACCAGAGCACTGAAATTATTTCTCACTTAAACGACAATCAAATGGATTTCCCCACACATTTCGCGTCAGTCCTCTGCGTGGCATGGTGTGTTCACAACGAACGCGAATAGAGCGTCAAATGCGCGTCTAGTTAGACGCTTGAACATTCGCTCGAGTTCAAATTTTTCAACTTGTGCAGAAGACATTCGCGCAAACGCGTCGCCCAATTCGCGTCATTCGCAACGCCCGCCGCGCGAATGATGCGTCTATTCGCGTCTTTGCATTGACTTTGTATCATATGTAATCTACTCGCGCAAATAATTAAATTTGCGTTCGGTGTGAACACACCATATTCTTTTCTGCGCGGCCGCCGCTTCAGAATGCGCGGCCGAGGCATCAGAAGTGCGCGGCCGCGCACGCGCGCAGCTTAGAGGGAACATTGCTTGTAACGCTGTTGCAAGTTGAGCGCGCGTGTGTGTCAAGAGTTGAGCGCGCGTGTGTGTCAAGAGTTGAGCGCGCGTGTGTGTCAAGACTTGAGCGCGCGTGTGTCAAGGGTTGAGCACGCGTGTGTCAAGAGTTGAGCGCGCACAGAATTAAGAGGTTGAGCGAGAGAGAGGGACTTGACAGGAGCGCAGAGAATAAGTTTGTGAGAGCACCTGAGTAAACTGCGTGAGAGGGGTTATTATTGCACGTTAATATGGATAATAGTAAATACATTGAGCACGGAATCGTTTTTTCTTTGCTCAAACGATTTTTTTTTTTGCGATTGTTAATTTCTGTTCAAAATATAATGCAATGTGCTTGCAAAATATAGTTCTCTGTGCTCAAAACTTACAATTACTCGCTCAGGAATGAGGCACATATATAACGCCATAGAAATACGCATTTAACTTGTGCACACATTTAAGGGTGACTTGAAACACACAAAGATGCATATAGAATATACAAGAATACAAACAATCATGCATGCTTCCACAGACCAACACTGACATTTTGGCCCTGTTTACACCTGGTATTAAGATGCGTTTTGGCTGATTGGATCACTAGTTAATTGAGACACGTTCCCGTTTACACCTGGGGCCTGATTTATAACCGTTTCATACGCACAAAACAAGCCCTGAAAGAGGCGTACGCCTTCCGACGCATAAGTTGTGATTTATAAAAACAAACTTGACAGGAAAATTTGCGCACCTGCACACAAACTCTGACCCATGCGCAGTGGCGCAAAAAGTGGGTATGCGCTATATGCGGCGCATAGGGGCGCAGCACCATGGGGGGCGCCAAAGCGATGGTAAAAAAAAAATAATTAAAATTTCATTTAAAAAATATATATATATATATATTGTATTTTCCATATGTAGCTGCTGTTGTGCGTTTCTAAATCATTTCTGCATTTCTTCAATGTTATATAAAATTTTAGAGGACTAACAGGCTAGAGTAGGCGCCCTCATGGAGAAGGGGGGCGGGGTAATATCGCGAGCGGACAGGGGCGTCGTGAGTGCTGAGCGAGCAGATACGAGTAGTGAGTTGTCGTCGAAAAAGATGGATAAAACAAAATGCTGTGGGGCTAAAAATAGAGAAAGAAAGAGGGAAAAGGAGATGGCATGTCAATTGATGCGACAGCAGGTAAATAAGTGCATGCTGAAAGCCAACAGGTAGGATTTAAAGTGTGACATCCAGGCATAGGCTACCTATATCTCTGTGGCCATCGGGACTACCGGGATTCCCGGTGGGCCGACGTGCTTTTTCGGCCGATACCTCTCATACTTTTTTTTCTTTTTCTTAACGGCCCATAAAACTCGTACATCGGCGGCCCATTCATTTTTATTTTTATTTTGCTTAATTGGCGGCGCTTGTTTAATGCATTGGTCAAAAAAAGTCAGCGTTATTTTT